GTCTGGCATTGACTGGCAGAGTTGAGTTGCTGCATACCCTATGCCCAGCAATTACAGTCCAGGTACACACCTAGAGAAAAATCTGGCACATAAATATGAATGTTCTTAGCAGCATTGTTTGGAACAGACCCCAACTAGTAACAACCTAAAAGTCCAACAATGGTAGAATAAATTGGAGTGCACAGCAATGAAAATGAACCAATTACAGCTACAAGCATCAACATGGATGATTCTCCAAATGATGTAGGGCGAAAGAAGAAAGTCCCAAGGAAGACCTCCTTTTCATTCCATCTATAAAGTCCAAAAGCCCAAAACAAACAAGAGTAAATTTTATTATTTAGTGATGCATAAATGGGTGGGAAAACTCAAGAAAAACAATGAGATCATTACATTAGATGTAGGATAGTGGTTGCCTGTGGGTGAGTGGGGAGTTCGAAGTTGTGCTCAGGCTACAGAACACAGTGGGAAGAGGGGCTTCAAAGATCCTGCAGTGCTAACCAGTGCTCATGCATTTTATATTAACCTTTATGCTCCATGTAAATGTTCTATGGACTTTTCTGTGGATGCATCTCACAATTTAAAACCCATCCTGCATATCCAGACGCAGAGTTCCTCGAAACAAGCACAAACTTAGAGATCAAGTCTGCTTGATAATATTGGTCTTCCCAAGTTTCCTCTCTGAGTCAGGACCTAGTGTTTCTTTTTCACTTAATTTTACCCAGTGGGGCTAAACCACTCAATGGTACTAAAGGATAAACAATGATCTCTGCAAAAATGGGGCAAGGATAGAGGAGAACGTTACAGAAACTGCAGTTGAAGCTTTCCCTCCAAGCTTTTCTTTCCAATGCTGGAAGAAGTCCTTCTGTGCCTCAGATGACATCAAGGCCTACTGCAGATCAGAGGGCCCCAGGATGCTTCACAGATGACACAGACTTCTGTAGGCAGTGATCTCTCTTTTGACACTCCTTGCCTTCTGCTTATCTCCAAGAAAGAAACGTACCCCTGGGTACACCACAGCAATTAGGAGCCTGCTCCCTTCGCCTCTTCCTGCTGGAGTTGTGGGTGGGTATTCACATATGTTGCAGAGAAGCAACTGCTGAGCCTCTTCCTCTTTCTCTGCTCAAACCATACCTTGTGGCAGACATGAGTCCCCAGGAAAGAATTCCAAGGCAGAGCCAAATTAAGCAACTCCTAGAGTCAGAGGCATCAGTAATTTGGGGGCCCTTCATGTGCTTGGTAGTTAATAACAAACAAACAAAATTATCACCAAAACTATAACTCATCAAATTTGATGTGCTCCCACAGGGCCTGCTCTAGATTTTAGTGGATATGTACGGTGAGTCCAGGGGCGATTAATATGAGCCTTAATTGCAGGGAGATAGGAAACCCTTTCTTGGAGTCCACAACCTGTCAGTTTCTCTCTTTTGTCACTCTTAAGTCGTGGCTACCTGTGGGGGTAAAAATGAGGCTGCAGACCATAAGGACATCACTGTATGTACACAGAAGGCTGCCTTCTGCCTCGTTCTCACAGTGTGCCCTCTCGTAGAGCTTTGGGTTGAAAATCCATAGCCGCAAAGACACTGATTCAGCCAGAAACTCTAGTTATCTAATTGGTTATCAACACTCAAGCGTCTCAAATATTTTAACTGGCTGCTAAGTCCATTGCTCAGGTTACAGAAAGCATTGGGAAGGATGCCAAGGAGGGAGAGGAAGGGTGTAAGGTGGAAAGCTTCTCGGCTAAAGGAAGAAGAAGAGTGATGGGAGAAAAGACATGTTGGGGGAGGGCACAGTCGCTCACACCTGTAATCCCAGTACTTTTGGAGGTCGAGGTGGGCGGATCAGGAGTTCGAGACCAGCCTGGCCAACATGATGAAACTCTGTCTCTACTAAAAATACAAAAATTAGCCAGGCATAGTGGTATGCACCTGTAATCCCAGCTACTTGGGAGGCTAAGGCAGGAGAATCACTTGAACCCAGAAGGTGGAGGTTATAGTTAGCAGAGTCTATACCACTGCACCCCAGCCTGGGTGACAGAGTGATACACTGCTTTTAAAAAAAAAAAAGACGGCTGGGTACAGTGGCTCATGCCTGTAATCTCAGCACTTTGGGAGGCCAAGGTGGGCAGATCACGAGGTCAGGAGATCGAGACTATCCTGGCTAACATGGTGAAATCCTGTCTCTACTAAAAATACAAAAATTAGTTGGGCGTGGTGGCATGCACCTGTAGTCCCAGCTACTCAGGAGGCTGAGGCAGGAGAATCGCTTGAACCTGGGAGGCCAAGGTTGCAGTGAGCCAAGATAGCATCACTATACTCCAGCCTGGGCAAGACTGCATCTAAAACAAAACAAAACAAAACAAAACAAAACAAAACAAAACACATGTTGGGGTGAAGGTGGTTGAGGACTACTTGGAAAAGAAAGAGATTCCTGAGCCTCTGCCAGGACCAGTTTCCATAGTCCAGCCACACGGTGTCCAGCCCTAACCCACCCCTGCTATACAGTTTGTAAACTGCAGGCAGATGGCATCCGGGGTGAGAGGGCCTTTGGCAGAGCTGGGTCCCAGCAGCGTTGCTGCAGCAGGTGGCCAGCTTGCTGGGGATCCACATCTGCCTGGCACAGGGAGGCTAGAAATCAGAGTGGACCCTCCCCAACAACCTACTGGCAAAAGCTGAAAACCCGAGTGGCTTCTGTGCTATCTGCACTATTTGGCTTTGTTTCCTTTCCTCCTCAGCCTGATGCTCCTTTGTCACACGCTTACTTACAAAACTTACTGGGACCTGATTTAGGGCTATCTGCTCTGTTCCATTGATTTTTCTTTGCTTCCTACTAATTACTGTAATGGTACAATACCTACTTAGGACATCTGTCCTATCACTACTAATGCTATACAAATATCAAGATAATGGAGTTCACTCTTCTCGCTCTGTTTATTACCTATGTAAAAAGCAAATCGTTTTATGTTCAGGGTAAAAGATGTTAGGACTAAGATTGGATCTTGTAATTCTCTTCTTCCTTTATTGTTTCGTTTAGTTTAGTTTTTGAAAAAGCATGAGGTCAGGTGGTTAAAAGAAAATGCTTATTAAATTGAAAAAAAGAGCAGCAAAGGCAGAATATAAGCTTTTTAAAAAATTGAGGATAGATGTAATAACCGCATGGAAATAAGATTCTGTAAAGAAAACTAAGCCTCAGAAGTAAAACAGCTGTGATTGTCAGTCTTCAATCTCTTGTCAAGACGCTTTCGGAATGAACTGAGAATCTGTACAGTGGAAGGAAATTCACTCATATGATTATATTTTCTTCCTCCCCTTTTATTTTCCACTCTCATTTCCCTTTCATAGACACCCATCCCAAGGAGCTTGACGTCTATTCTTTATGTGCATTTTGGTAAAATGTGTGCTGCTGTTGCGTATGCATGTATTTTTATTTGCATCATTTTCCCTATGCATTAAAGTCCTATCCCATTGTGTGTGTTCATGTGACCCACTGCTTCATGCCACTGCATAGTTCTTCATGATTTGCACCCCTCACTTATTTATCCACACCCCCAGTGGTGGATACCTAGATTGTTTCCAACTCGCCAGCACAATGATTCCAGAAACATCCTTGTCTCCTTCATATAGAGACCCATGTGAGAATTCCTATGGGGTGCATTCCCAGGAGTAGAACTGGTGAATCCTGAGGTATCCACATATTTAATTTGAGTAAGAACCACCAGATTGCCTCCAGCAAGGCTATACCAGTCTACATCCCCACCAGCAGTGCATGGGGTTTCCTGTATCACCACACCCCCTCCCATTCCTACCATCAATTTTTAGAGTGATCTGCTTTACTAATTTTTGCTAGTCTAACAAGAATAAGTAAAGTTGTATACTTTCTCTGATGCATTTGAGCACTTCTAAACATGCATATCAGTATCAGCGAGGTAAGTTAAGTGATGTAACAGACCTCAAACCTCAGTGGCTTAACAAAATAAATGTCTGTGTTCACATCACACACCATGGTGGGGGGCAAGGGAAGGGTACTCCCCCAGTGGTCCTTTGGGCACTCAGACTTCTTCCATTGTGTGGTTCGAGGGCCCCAGAGCCTTCCATTGGATTCTCTGCATCCAGCCAGGAGAGGAGGGGAGAGCGCTCTCGGAGGAGACTGGAACGCGAGGGTTTTGAGGGCACAGTCTAAGTAGTGCTATACATTAATCTAGTCATATTCTTTGGGCCAGAACTCCATCACATGGCCTGAGGCAAGGGGGCTGCAAAATACAGCCTGGATGTGTGCTGAAAAAAGGACATGCAAACTGAGGAGGAGTTAGACAATCTCTGTCACAAAATGCTTGCTAGCTTTTGGAGTTTCCTCTTCTATAAATTTCCTGATCACATTCTTGCTCCTTTTTGACTTTAGACTTTTTCCTATTGTTGATTTGCAGTAGTTCCTTGTATATTCTAGAAGATATCTGTCCCCTGTTGGTGTTATTCACTGTAAATATTTCTTCCAGTCTGTCCGCCTGATCACTTTGGCAGGAATCTAATTATCAAGCAGGAATCTAATTTTTTAAAATTGTTTTTGTATTTGTTTACAATTTGGGGGGATTTGTTTGTTGGTTTGTTTGTTGAGACAGGGTCTCACCAGGCTGGAGTCCACTGATGCAATCACAACTCATTGCAGCCTCGACCTCCCAGGCTCAAGCGATCCTCCCATCTCAGGCTCCTGAGTAGCTGGGACTTCAGGTGCATGCCACCATGCCTGGCGTTTTTAATTTTTAGTAGAGTCGAGATCTCACTACGTTGCCCAGGCTGGGGTTTACGATCTTAACCTCTGGATTCCTCTTGAGTGTACTTCGTATCAGGCACAGAAGTCTTTAGTCACTTTACCTTCCTTTGTCAATTTTCTCATCAGTCTCCAGTTTGCAGAGGAGTCACTTGTTCAGGCACAGCGAAGAAGACGTTCTCCCAGAGAAAAAGGCCTGCTAGAAAGCTAATTTCCCTGCCTCTAATTCTCTTTTTCAGCTTCCAATTTCCCCTAATCCTGTAGTCCCTAGCCTAGAGAAACTCGGTTCTCCAAAGCCTCTATGGAAATGGGCAAAACTGTTCAAGAAGCCCTTTCAACTGGCTGAAGAGGGAGACAAGAACCAGCTCATGGAGCGTGTGTCTATTAAAATGGCTGCAACAGTAAACGGTGCCAAATTGGAACTTTCTCAAACACACTGGAACTTCTAATCCGTCTCATGTTGTGTGTTGACTTTGATTTCTTGTTCACACCGTCTGACCCTTTCCCTGAAAAGCCCTCCCTCCCTTTGCTTGTCTAAATTATTTTATCTTTAGTACTCAGCTTGGGCATGAATTCCAGGAAGGCTTCACTGACCTCCCTCCACCACACCCCCAGGGCTAGGTTAATGGACCTCTTCTATACTCCCCAGTGCCCTGAACATCTCTCTCTCACTGAACTTGCCACATGATGCTGCAATGGCCATTTGTCCACTAGACGGTAAGCTTTTGGAAGAGCCTGAATCCCATTCATCTTTGTATTCCTCCCATTGCATGGGCCCTAACGCATGGATTGGCCTTAATAGCCATTGAACGGATCTAGTGAGTTAATTGTGCCCCATCTGCTGCAATTGGCCCTACTGCCCCAGCTTCCTGGGCTTTAAGGAGGTTTTCACTATGGCAGAGAGAGGCTGGAAGCATTCTCCTGCAGGGGCCAGCTGGTGTGCCTCTCCCGTGGTCTGTCATCCAGGCAGCATATGGGCTAGCCTACATCCCTAGGGGGACCCTGGGCCAGCCGGTCTGGGTTCACTTTCCTGGGCCTCAGCCTCTGCGGTGGAGGCGGGGCAACACGTAGAATACATGGCCGGGTGGAGGTCAGGGCACTCGGCGCTGGCTGTGGCCCTCCCCTTCCCAGTTTCCCCATTCAGAGGTCAGGATCTGGGAGAACAGGAGAACAGGCTGCAGGCAAATGAGCAGGCGGCGGACAAGCAAAGGAGGGAAGAGCCCTCCCACCTCACTGGCCCTGCAGCCCGCCAAGCTCGAGATTCGGCTGCCCTCTTGTGTCCAGAGAGTGAAAAACAAGGGAAAGAACCCCAAAACAGGTCTCAGTCTGGTGACCACAGCCATCCTGCTATCCTTGTGCCTCCTTTTCCCAAAGGGCACATCCCAGAGACACACATTCAGTAGGATGACCTGCCTCGTCCCCAAGAATGGGCCATCCACCCCAGTTACTGCCTGTACCTTCCCCTGGAGGTCTGAGTACCTAAGACCCTTCTCTGGAAAGGAAAAAGGAAGGGCTTGAAAATGTATAAGGGAATTCTCTGGGGCAGGGCGGGCAGACAGGGTGTGGAACAGGTGGGATCAGCTCCTGTCTGCCTGTAGATTCTGCTTTTGGAGGTGTTCTCTGCTCCACCTTTGGAGAGCTCTGGGCCAGTGAAAGGGTGACTGCTGGGCTCAACACCCCTGCCCCAGGGGCGCCCCGCTCTCACACCACCATCTGGCTGTGTGAGCCCAGTCCAGGTCTGTCTATCCCAGGGACTTGTACTCAGCCCTCCCTCCAGCCCTCTGCCCCAGGTACTCTCCACAGTGCCATGCTGTGGGTTTTCTACTTTTAGGGCTTCTCCCACTCTGAAAGTCATAACCCCATCTTTATTTATTTTTTCATTGTCTGCCTTCCCTTCCCTTCCCTTCCCTTCCCTTCCCTTCCCAACTAGAATGAGAGCAGGGCCCTGTTTGGCTCATTCTCCGTGGCCTCAGAATGCAGAACGGGGCCTGGCACACAGCAGACTCTCAGTACATGTTTCCTGATCGAGGTTCCCAAACACACTCAACATCCTTCCATGGCCCCACCTTTGTCACGTGGCTTCTTCCACCTGAAACACCTTCGACACGCTAGCCCACCACCACCTTCATCTCACTGCCTGCCTGGCAACGTGCTAGTTCCTGTTAGTTCAAACTCAGCGTGGACATACTCCTCTTTGTGAAGACTCCCTTATCTCTCCCAAATTCGGCATTTCTTTCTGTGTGCTCTCACCTCCTATAAGCTGCTGCTGTTACTGTCTGCAAGCCCAGCAAGGGCAAAAATTGTTATCCTCACATTCTTAGTGCCTGGCAGATCGCAGATGATATATGAACACTTACTGGTGAACTCTGATTACCGGGGCTCCTAGAGCCATGCCTGAGCTACCTTCCTAGCATTGTCTCCTTCTGCTCTGGCATAGGGAGCCCACCCTTGAGCCAAATGAAACATCACATCATTCACCCAGCATCTTCCTAAGCTCCCTTTGGATGGGGTTAACACTCAGCCTCTGGTCCCATCTGCTGCAAGATTCTCCTGGTATCCAACTCCTGATCTGACCCCAGCACCGTGCTTTCAGCAGCGTTTTTCCTCTAGCAGGAATGCCTTTCCAACCATCACCCTCCTTTACGACTCATCTTCGCTGCAGCTTCCTCCAGGAAGTCTTCCCTGGTTCCCCAGCAGGAACTAATCCCTTCCTCTTCTGTGCTTCCCATCATCCCCTTGTATTAGAATTAGTCAATTCTGCCTTGTAGTAGAGTCCCATGCCTACTCAGTGGGGACTTAATAAAAGTACGTTGTGTGTTTTTTAATAAATTCAGTGAATTGTAAGCTCTTTACTGTCACTAGCCACGCCCTGTACATGTCAGTATCACCCTCCCTCCTGTGAGGCCAATAGCAATACCTACTCACACTAGGCCCATGTGTACATGGTGACTTGAGGATCAAAGGAGTCAATAGTCTCCCAATGTGAATGCTCATGTAACTAACACCAGGTCCTTAGAAGAACCTATCCCAGGACACACACCCTCATCCTGTGTGGCCCAGGCTGGCCCATCCTACCTTATGTAGCAAATAGGGCATCAGACAACCCCGTCCTGCCTAGGGCACTGACCCTGGAAACCCTGGGCATGTGCCTTGTTCTTTGCCTTATGCCTTCCCATCCCATCACAGCTTTCCAGCTGCACACACCTGTGTACACCTGGAGCTCCCCTTGGATGGAGTTAGCACTCAGCCTCTGGTCCCATCTGCTGCAAGCTTCTCCTGGTATCCAACTCCTGATCTGACTCCAGCGCCTGGGATACGACCTCATTCATCACCCATGTGGTAGCAGCACTGGCAGATCTAGCCACCTTCCACTGCTTGAATCACCACACATACATGCGCACACAGTCACATACGCACACATAATACACACACACACATACACACATGTATGAGGATTAGGTCCACCTCCCACCCCTACCTACAGTCACCTCTGGTACTCTCTGCCTGCTTGGAGCACTGGCCCGTTCTATCACACCAGGTGCCCAGAACATTAGTAGTGCCTTCTAGGGACAGTGCCACAACCTTTGTACCTGAGAACAAAGAGAGTGCTCTTGATGTAGCTGATATAGTTTGGATATTTGTCCCCTCCAAATCTCATGTTGAAATGTAATTCTCAATGTGGGAGGTGGGACCTGGTAGTAGGTGTTTGAGTCGTAGGGGCAAATCCCTCATTAATGGCTTAGTGCCATCCTCGCAGTAATGAGGGAGCTCTTTCACAAGAGAGCAGATCATTAAAAGAAGCCTGGCCCCTCCTCCTCTCCCTCTTGCTCCCTCTCTCGCCATGTGACATGCCTGCTCCTCCCTTGCCTTCTGCCATGATTGTGAGCTTCCTGAGGCCTCAACAGAAGTTGAGCAGATGTTAATGCCATGCTTGTACAGCATGCAGAACCATGAGCGAAATAAAGCTATTTTCTTTATAAATTTACCCAGTCTCAGGTATTCCTTTACAGCGTTGCAAAATGGACTAACATAGTAGCCAATATATTTCTTCTTTTAGTCATGGGTAAAGGATAAGGTAAAAACCACCGATGTCAGCACTAACGGAGAGAAAAGAGGCAGAGTAGGCGCATGAGGCAGAATGTGGTCAAGGGCTTATGTGTTGCAACTATGTTTAGTGTGACGACCAGCCCTGGGCAAAGGTTTTGATGCTGAGCTTAGCACTGAGCTTTAGAGTACTCCACAAATATTTGTTGAATGAATCGATCACTTACCTGCCCACCTCCCATGCCCATCAACGGTTACCTCTGGTCCTCTCTGCCGGCTTGGAGCACTGTCCTGTTCTACCACAGCCTTAGTGGTGCCCTCTAGGGTTAGTGCCACAATTACATCTAAGGTTCTTTCACTTATCTTGAAGTTCACCTAACACAGTATGTTATTTCTTCTCCAGGTCTCCGGATGTGGGAATTCCTGCTCTTTACCCCCCAACCCCACTCCTTCACGTGGCTTACTATTAAATATCCTTTACATCTCACCAATGTGCTGCTACTTCCTTCAAAAAGTCTTTCCCTGAGTGCCGCCTCCCTGCCTCAGACTAGGTTAGATGGTTTGCATTGGATCAAGAAAGAAGACAGCTTCTCCAGCTCTCTTTAGTACCGCTCATTTCATGCATACAAATAAAGTCAGCCAAAACTCTTATATACCACATCACACACATAATTATTTACTAAGTGCGTTCCTATTATATCTTTGGGGTCTTACGATAACCCTGGGGACAGGTATTATTATTTCCATTTCTTTCTTTCTTTCTTTTCTTTTCTATGTATGTATTCATTTATTTATTTATTCATTTATTTTTGAGACAGAGTCTTGCTATGTCACCCAGGCTGGAGTGCAGTGGCACGATCTCGGCTCACTGCAACCTCCACCTCCCGGGTTCAAGCGATTCTCCTGCCTCAGCCTCCTAAGTAGCTGGAATAACAGGTATGAGCCCCAACGTCCAGCTAATTTTTGTATATTTTGTAGAGATGAGGTTTTGCCATGTTGACCAGGCTGGTCTTGAACTCTTGACCTCAGGTGATCCACCCGCCTCAGCCTCTCAAAGTGTTAGGATTACAGGTGTGAGCCACCGCACCTGGCAATTATTTCCATTTCAGAGATGAGGAAATTAAGGCTCTGAGATATTAATGACCCACCAAAGGTCACAGAGCAAGTAAGCCAGAGCCGAAGAGGAAAAGCCATGTCTCCTGATGCAGAAACTTGTGTTCATCTCATTTCATGGGGTGGTGCTGCAGTATTCGCAGGGGTGAGGATGGAGGTGCTGAATGGGCTCAGAAGTTGTGTGGTGATAAATTGCCTAAACTAGGAGATCATGGGGGGCTCTCCCCTCTTCTCTCTATGCAACTCTGCAGAGCCCTTGAAACAAGAAGCAGCACAGCTTTATTTCCTCTGGTCCATTTCT